GGGGGGGGAACAGGGTTGGGAAGCAGAAAAGAAAGAGTTAACGGGAAACAGGAGGGAAGTAAGAGAAGCTGTGAGCGGCGCAGGGAGGGAAAAGTTCAGGAAGCCAGAGCACAGGACTAGACACAGGCAAGGGCTTGAGAGGAGTTTGCCTAAGACTCGCGGCAAAGGGAAGCGAGCTAAGGAGACAACCAGGCTAGGAAGGTCTAGGGGAAGGCAGAGAGCCCCAAAGTACAGCATGCATAGGAAAGGGCGAGGGGCAGCGGTGGTCCCCCACACCAAGAGAGCCTGGCAAGAGGACCCTGGAGCTGGAGACCTTCCTCTACCCAGCTCAGATCTCTAGCAGGTTGCTCTGCTCCGGGCTGCCTCCGGGGGCTTTTTCTGGGGGTGCAGGCGAGGTGGAAGATCGGGGAGGCTGACTGGCTTCTTCTTCACCGACGCTACGGCCCTCTCCCAGCTCCTTAGGGCCACTTGGGGGCGGCCCCGGGCCTGGTTCCCCGTGGGTGCGCTGGTGTTTGCTCAAGTGATCGCTCCTGGTAAAGCGCTTGGAGCAGAGCAGGCAGGTGAACTTCTTCTCCCGGGTGTGAGTGCGCACATGGCGCTCCAGCTCGTCGGAGCGGGTGAACCTCTTGCCGCAGAAAAGCCAGTTGCAGACGAAAGGCCTCTCGCCAGTGTGCCAGCGCAAATGGGCTTTCAGATGTGAAGCCTTGCCGTACACCTTGCCGCAACCAGGGATGTGGCAGCTGTGAATGGGCTTCTTCCGCAGCCCAGCCGCTGCTGCCCCCAGCCGCTCTAGCTCCTGACAATTGGGGCAGTCGCAAGTGGACCGCCCTGCCCCACTGCCGGCATACCCACCGCTGCCCCCGGTGCCTGCACCCCGGGGAGGCTTGCCTGCACCACTTCCCTCCAGCTGCCCGCTATTGCCAACTGCCTTGGGCTTGTAGACATCTTGGGGTAGGACATGCTGGGGCCCTGGTTGCAGGAGGTGGGGCGCTGGGTAGGGTGCCGGATTAAGTGGGGCAAAGTCAGAAGGGTAAGTAGGCAGCTGGGGGTTCAGTGGAGGCTGAGTAGGGCCTGCGGACAGTGTCCCTTGCAGCCCATCACCCTGGCCCTGCCCTCCACCTAGCCAGTTACCCCCCGGGTGCATGTCCCACCAAGGAGTAGGTGTGTTGCCTGGACCTGGTGAGATGCCTGCATGGATGCCTGCCTTGTACCAGGAGCCATAGGGATGCGCCATGTCCAGAGAGGTGTAGACACTAGGCAGGCAGTCGGAAGAGCCGTGCCCCTTGGGTACCAGTAACCCAGGGTCCTGGGCGCCAGTGGGCCCAGGAAATGAGTGAGGAAAGGGTGGGTAGTCATTGGCATAGCCAGAGGCCGAGGCTGGAGGGCTGCCTGCCGGGGAGAGGAGCCCGTTGGTGCCGGAAAAGGGAGCTGGGTAGGCATCCCCCATGGCTTTGGGAGCTGAAAGGTCGGAGTATGGCTTCTTTGTGCTTCCTTTTCCCAGGGCCGTTGAGTCCCGCAGAGGGCTGGAGCCACCAAACTTACTGCAAGCCGCCGTCAGCATGGCCAGGGGACTGGAGCCATAGTGAGCTTCTTCCTGGAGAGAGAGGGAGAGGCACCGCTTAGGAGGAAGGGGTGAGGAGTGAAGGGCGCAGCTACCGGACTGGGACCCACGGAGAACAGAGCGCGGAGGCTAGGGAAAGGAGAAAGAGAAAGGCGGACCAGAGGGAAGACTAATGTGCCAGGGCGGAACTAAGACTGAGCCATGAAGGGACAGGAGAGGCCCGAACCCGATGCTCTCATCCAGCAGCCCGGAAGAGCCCCCTGTGGAGTCAGTAACAGGGTACAGGTCTCTGAGGAAGAGCTGGCTGGTTTGTCCTGACCTAGAAAAGTGGATCTGAAGCAGACAGAAGCCAAGCCATGGCCAGGGACTCAAAAAAAGATGCCCCTCAAAGAGGACCATGGTCTGAATGTGGTAGCTCACACCGTAATCCTAGCACTTAGGAGGTGTAGGTAGGAAAAATCAGAGGCTGGGGTTATCCTCAGCTACATAGCAACTCCAGGCTAGAAGAGGCTACACAGACCCTGTGTCAAAAGCAAACAGGCCCGGTGTGGTGGCGCATACCTTTAGGCTTGAATGCTGTAAGCAGAGGCAGGAGGATCTCTATGCGTTTGAGGATACCCTGGTCTACACAGTAAGTTCCAGGGCAGCCAGGGCTATATAGAGAGACCCTGTCTCGAAAAACCAAAACCAAAGCAAACAAAAAAGGCCTAGCTCCTCAGGATGCTGAGGCAGGAGGGTCACTTGAGCCCAGGAATCTTTGAGATGAGCCAGGTGAGCACAGCAGGGACACCTCCCGTACCCTCTCCACAGAAGGGGGAGGCAGAGAGAGGCAACGGTACTGGGGACTACATTTGACCCCAATCCAGATTTTCCTGGCTTCACCTCAATTCCTCAATTCCGTTCCCTGTTTCTGCTTCAGCCCCCGACTAAAGAGCCGCGCCTCATCTCCTTGAGGTCAAGTCCACATGTCCCTGTTAAGGAATCTCTTGGCATGGACTTTGGAGCTGGGAAGCTGGAGGAAAGGACAGCAGAGACACTGGGACATTGAGAGGGAACAGGGCTGCAGCCAAGCCGAGACTGTGGTGAAGCAAGAATGTCTTTCAAGCAGGCATTGGGCACCTCCTGCTTCTTGGTACTAGCTAGTGTTCCTCTGGGCAGCGTAAGAGTCCAAAGTGCTCAGGACTCTCCAAGACGGAGCTGGATCACAGCCTTACTCCTCTAGGTACGTGGAGTTGGTCTGCACCGTACCATGCAAGTGCGGCGAATGGAAGAAGACATGAAAGTGGGCTGAGAAAGGTCTTTTAGAAAACACAGAGGTAGAGGCCAGCCTGGGCTACAGAGTGAGATCCAGGACGGGCTCCAAAGCTACACAGAAAAAAGAAAAGAAAAGAAACACAGAGGTAGCCGGGTGGTAGCGGCGCACGCCTTTGATCCCAGCACCTGGGAGGCAGAGGCAGGCGGATCTCTGTGAGTTCGAGGTCAGCCTGGTCTACTAAAAGAGTTCCAGGACAGCCAAGGATACACGGAGAAACCTTTTCGTGAAAAACAAACAAACAAAAATCAGGGTTATCTCCTTAATGCCTACCAATCTGCTGTGACCAATCTGGCCACCCTCATGACAATCGTGCCTCAGGAGCTCATGATACCCCTCCTTAGGTCAGCTTCAGAACCTCTTGGGAAGAAATGCACTCCAGCATCCTTGGCTAGTATGTACAAGGTCCTGGGTTCAATCAAATTGCCTTATCAAAAAACAAAAACAAGGGGCTGGAGAGATGGCTCAGAGGTTAAGAGCACTGCTTGCTCTTCCAAAGGTCCTGAGTTCAATTCCCAGCAACCACATGGTGGCTCACAACCATCTGTAATGAGATCTGGTGCCCTCTTCTGGCCTGCAGGGATACATGCAGACAGAACACTGTATACATAATAAATAAATAAATCTTTAAAAAAAAAAAAAAAACAGAGAGAGAGAGAGAGAGAATAAAAGACATCCTTCGAAAGCTTGGCCCCATGGGGCCAGTGAGGTGGCTCAGTGGGTAAAGCATTTATTACCAAGCCTGGTGACCTAAGTTCAACCCCCAGAACCCACACAGTAGAAGGAGAGAACTCCCACAAGGTGTCCTCTGACTTCCACACATGCTATGGCATGGCATTCACATAAATAATCTATCTATCTATCTATCTATCTATCTATCTATCTATCTATCTATCTATCTATCTATCGAGCGTGCGTGCGTGCGTGCGTGTGTGTGAAACATTTTTTTAAGTTAATCATTGGGGCTGGAGGGATGGCTTGGCAGTTAAAAGCCCTTATTGTTCTTCCAGAGAACTGGGGTTAGGTTCCCAGCACCCACATGGCAGTTCCAACACCCTCTTCTGGCTCCACAGGCACCAGGAACACTGTGGAGCGCATACATCCATGCAGGCAAAACACCTATACGCATAAAATAAAAAAATAAAAAAGTACTACTTGTGGTGGTGCATGCCTTTAAACACAGCACTCAGGAGACAAAGGCAGGCCGATCTCTGAATTCAAGGCCAGCCTGGTCTACAGAGTGAGATCCAGGATAGGATAGCAAGAGCTACAGAGAAACCCTGTCTCAGGGGGAAAAAAAATAGGAAAGGAAGAAAGAACAGAAGGAAAGAAGGAAGGGAGGGAGGGAGGGAGGGAGGAAGGAAGGAAGGAAGGAAGGAAGGAAGGAAGGAAGGAAGGAAGGAAGGAAGGAAGGAAGGAGGTCAATTGTGTGATAGTCTGGTGTCTTCCTAATAAAACTTACAAAGGAAGGCAAGAATCCAGGGTTCTCAGACCCGCCTGGTGGCTCCTGGTTCAATACGTATGTGTGTGAGATTCCACGCCAAGTCCTATAGGTAAGGCTGGTGTCTCAAGGTTTCAACGAAGGAGTTTGCAATCACGACCTCTTCACTGCACCCCTGCCCAGCTCTCTCTTTCTGAGGTCTGTCGATCCTATGGGCTCCCAAATATGAGCCATCAAAAGCCACCCAAACAAACGGTTGCTTATTGTCCCACAGTAAACCCCTGGGCTTTCCCAGAAAGGGAATGGCCCAAGCCGAGAGGAGGCTCGGGCCGGGAGCTGGTGGGGCAGGAGTGAAATCGTAGCGTGAGGGTTGGCAACATGGGAGCTCAGAGGCACATGGAGACGCATAAACAAGGGCACAAAGGACACTGTGCCATGCCAAGCTCCATAGGGACAGAAGAGGGGGCCATGGAGGGAGATGTTTGCATTAAGAGACAGAAATGGACAAGAAAGTTTAAAAACAAAAGGGTGGGAGATCGAGAAAACCAGAATAAACAAAGGAGAGGTGAAAAGAGATCCTGGGCCAGGAAGGCTAAGGAAAACACAGGAAAAGACGGGAGAAGGAAGCCGGAGGAGGAGGAGGAAGGCACACGCTTCCCACCTAAGAGAAACCCACCATGGCGATGGGCCCCAGAAAACCCCGGACCAGGCCATTCCCCCCTCCTTCTCCCCCTTAGCTGCTGCCCCCTCCCCCTCTGCCCAGCTCGGCCCTGCTCGGCTCCGGCTCCGGTGGCTTCCCTGCGGTCGGTTTATTTTTAAAAACGCCGACGCGGTCCCCCGCCTGCCCGGCCCTCACACTGTGGCCACAAGGACCTCAGCCAAGCCCAGGGACCCCACCCAGCTGTGGGGAGGCAGGGAGGGGTAAAGAAGACAGCCAACCCTAGGCTGACATGAGACCCGGACTTTGGGGAGCAAGGGCCAACGGGGCCCCTGAAGGCCAGAAAGAAAGAGCAAAGTCCTGGACTGCTCTGGGGGTCCATCACCTCACACCCTCAGTCTCCTTTTCTGGCTGATTGCTCTCTGTGAGAGCTGGGGGAAGTGTTCAGGATTCTGGGCGTATGCTCCTATATATCTGATCATATGTATTACCTTGTAGAAACCAAGATACCCGCTTGCTTTCCAGGTTCCCTGTTCCCCATCCCTGCCCCGCCACCCTTGGAAACAAAAGGCTTAGCCAGGTGTGCTGGCTCACGGCCCTTGATCCCAGCACTCAGAAGCAGGCAGGTCTCCAGGAGTTTGAGGCCAGCCTGATCTACATAGGGAGTTCCAGGACAGTCTACATAGTGAGACCCTGTCTCAAAAAACGAAAATAAACAAACAAAATAAAAGGCTTAAAATACTGAAGGAGGGAGGGATCTCTAAACAAAGCTCACGTTAGGAGCCTGTCTCCGCTTTTGTCCTGATGTCAAGTGGAGCAAGGGGGACCCCCTCTCCCCAAGTAACTCACAATGGAGACGCCGCTTACTGTACATCTGACAGCTGGTACTAGTTACAGAGGCTGAGCACCCAAGGCCCCTGTCCCTAGTTCCTGACTTTCTCCCAGGTTCTTAATGCACCCAGCTTTATAAAATTTTTAAAATTTTTCTTGCCAGGCAATGGTGGAGCATGTTTTTAATCCCAGCACTTGGGAGGCAGAAACAGGCGGGTCTCTGTGAGTTCAAGGCCAGTCTGGTCTACAGAGAGAGTTCCAGGACAGCCAGAGAGCTACACAGAGAAATCTTGCCTTGAAAAACAAACCAAAAAAAAAAAAAAAAAAAGTATATTTTCTTTTATTATGAGTATTTTATTTTTATCTTTTGGCATCCTAGGAATTGAACCCAAGGGCTCATCCCTGCTGAGCAAGCACTGTGGCTCTGAGCTAGCTCTCTACACAAGCTTCCCAACTCCATGCCTCGTGTCCTCCCCTCCCCCCTCCCCTCCCCTCTCCTCCCCTCCCCTCCCCAGCTCCCCTCTCAGTTGGGCTAAGTGTCTTTCCCCAGCAGCTGCTTCCCTCTCTGAATCTCAGGTTCCTCCCACTTCTGGAGAAGCTACTCATGCCAGACAGAGGGATTCCCAGGGCATTACAGAAGAATAAAAAACCTAGGACCCTAAAAACTAGGTAAAAGAAATGGAGAGACTGCCTTATGTGCTGGCCTTTAACCCCAGCACTCGAGAGGCAGAGGCAGGCAGGTCTCTGTGAGTTCGAGGCCAGCCTGGTCTATGTAGTAAGTTCCAAGACAGCCAAAACCATGTAGAGAGACCCTGTCTCAAAAAAAAAAAAAAAAAAGAGAGAGAGAGAGAGACTGGTGTGTCTTTGGGTTAGGCACCGCCCACTCATAGGGAGCTGGGGGACCTGCAGGCCTAAGATCCATGACACATTCTTATGGCCAAATGCTTCCCCAAGTCTGTGTCTCTCCAGAAAGTCTCTGAGTTGCCACTCCCCCAGGCACTAGTGCCACGCTGGCAAGGCTGGGGTGATGGGCATGCCCAGGACACTGTCCCTGCCCTGGGCAGACCCAGGACTTATTATATGCACCTTTTCCCTCCTGCTTCCTCAAAACCATTGTTTCACTGATGGCTCAACATAGAGTCTGTTGAGTAAAAATATGTGCCCGCAGTCATACACAGACATAATAATAAGTAAATAAATTTAGATTCTATTGGGGGAAGGGCCATTTAACAATCTGTACACAATGCAGCCAAGAGTAGATCTCTGTATCTGGGATCTGCTTATAGAGTGCGTCCCGCCCTACCTCAAACTCAGTCACAAAGTCGTCATCCCATACCCTTACGGATACCATTCCTCATTTGAACTAAGTACAAAAATAATCCAGTTTAGGAGTACACGTGCACTCTTGCATGTATACACACACACACACACACACACACACACACACACACACACACACACACACCTGTACTCACAAAGTCAGCAATGTAGGCACTTTAACACTTATACACAGGCCAGTGGACACATAAGTCACACACACACACACACACACACACACACACACACACACACCACTCCCACAGGTTTAGCTAGGTGGCTTTCTGATGAGTCAATCACCAAAGACTAGTCACTCCTTGGACCTGAGTAAGGGCACCCAGAACAGAGATTCATTTTGTTTGTTTTGTTTTTGAGACAGGGTCTCTAGAGGTAGCTCTGGCTGTCCTGGAGCTCTCCATGTAGACTGGGTTGGCCTCATACTCACCTGCTTCTGCCTCCCAAGTGTTGGGATTAAAGGTGTGTGCCACCATTTCAGGCTGAGAATGGTGTCTTCCGAAGGCCCCAAGAAGAGGGATAATTTGATGCTACTGGAGGGCACTGACATTCAAGGAGGATTATCTCACCCCAAGTTCCTTCAGAGGGACCCTGAAAGCAGCCTAGAGATGGTGACAGAAACAGCTCTAAGAGACCAGGAAACCTCAGGCTCTGAGTGGCTGGGAGGCCTCCCTTTCCAGCTCTGTGCCTTGGGTCCCCCAGACATCCTGACAAAGTTAGTGATTTCTCAAGATCCTAAATCCATATGGTACCTGAGTTCTCTCCATCTTCAGAAGCAGAGGGCAAGGGATGATGGGGTCCTAAGCCTGGAGGGGAAGTGGTCCAGTCCTCCCTGGAGCCTCCCACTCCCAAAATAGAGCTTAGTTTGTCTTTGGCTGAAAGCTAAATATTTGTGAGCCGGGCAGCGGCCTCAGATCCTGTCCCTCCTCCTTGGTTCCCTCGCAGGCCTGAGCTCAGTTCCCCTGGCCAGCCCCCCACAGGCAGGGCTGCTCCTCTTCTCGCTCATAACCTACCTCCTCTCCCACACACCAGCTCCCAGGCCAGGCTCCCTCCTCAACACAGACCCGACCAGAGCTTGCTTACTGTAGGAAGAAGCCCTAGACATGGGACTCCCCCCAGCCCAAAGAACTGTAGCTGAAGGCTCCTCCATGCTCACTCAGATACCATCTGCTGCCAGCCTACCTGTTTCCCACTGTCCATTTCTTCTCCCTCCGTTCGCCATTGCTTTTTTCACTCCTCACAGTTAGTGCTTAGCTGACCTCAGGGGTCCTCACTTTCTTTTTACCTGATTCTCTCTGACCCCCCCCCCTTCTTTGAGTGTCCTCTGACCTCTGGCCCCGTTCCCCCTCCCTTTGCTTCTGCCCCCTGCCTGCCCCTTCCTGGGACCCTACTCCTCCTTATCAGAAGGACCCTGGAAGTGACCAGCTTTGCAGCCACTGCCTATGTGAGCTGAGGGGGTGGGGTAGGCATGGATTAGGACCAGGAAGAGCGAAGCTGGTTTCCTAGGCAGAGGAGGAAACAGTTACCTCAAGCAGAGAGGACGCCATCCTCAGGCTGGGGATCGGGTCCCAAGGAGCCAGGCAGATGGAGAGAACGAGGAGCCAGAGGGAGAGGGAGAGGGGAGAGGGAGGGAGAATGGGAGAAGAGAAGAGATCTAAAGTTAGAAGGGACTGGGGGGTGGGGGTGGGGGGGCTGCTCTCTGTCTGTAGGGATCCACCCTCTAATTACAGCTTTCCCAGCGGAGAAGACTCCGGATCCAATGAGGAGGGCGAGAGAGGGAGGCAGAGGGTCCAAATTTCCTGCTCCATTTGCTGAGCTCCCCAAAGAAGGGATCTGGGAGGGAGAGGAGAAAAGGGGGTGCCCAGGGAAGCGGGTGGGAAGCAGGGATATGGGCAAATTGTCATAGCTTCCTTAGGGGTGCTACGGGGAGAGGTGGGAAGGGTTGGTAGACCCAGGTGTCCGACATACCCCAGAAGTCCAATAGGCATCTGTGGGCAATCCCCCAGAGCTGCTCAGCATCTGTACCTGGAGAGGCTGGGGTTGGCTGTCCCGTCTCCTCTCAAGAGCTCTGGCGCGAAGACTGCTGGCAATGGGTGGCCCGAGGGCGCTGGGAGGGATCTGCTCCTCTCTCAGGCCAGCTCACTCTTGTTCCCACTCAGATCCAATCCTATAATCCTACTCTGACTCCGAGTCCTTGCAGCTACTCAGTGGCGCGGCAGCTTCTGTTGCCGCTGCTGCCGCCGCCGCTGCTGAGGCTGCCGCCGCCGCCGCCGCCGCCGCTCCTCTGCTGAGGGAAGGAACAGGAGGGAAAAGGAACAAACCCCAAACCACTAATTAGAGATCTGGGGGGGGGGATGGGGGATTGGGGACGACACACAGAGAGACTGGAACACACTGACACACACACTCATGGACAGACACAGGGATGATGCATGCACACGCACATACTGGTACCCACATGGGGACTGTCACGGTGGTGAATGAACGCCGACAAACCCACGTACAGTGACTATGACGGCGCATTGGGCACCTACACGACCACCCACCACCCCCAAGGCGGCAACGGAGATGCTTTCGTGTGCATTCAGCCACCACCTCACAAGATCAGGATGGCACTGCGTGTGTGTGTGTGTGTGTGTGCACATTGTGTGAAATAGGAGGGATATGGTCTACTGCCCAAACTTTAGGTGTCACTGAGTTAGGCTCTAGGGCCAGCCTGGAGCAAGTGATGGGGAGTGAGAAAATCAGGGCACAGTTTGCAGAGGAGGGTGATCTCGATTTCACTGTTAGGCGAGGAGACCCAGGCCCGCCTCAGTTTGCAAGGCAGAACCTGGAACCTGAGGAGATAGATTTAAGGGGAGCAGGAGTGAGGGTCAGAGCAGAAGCCCATGGGGTCAACTCATTCATGCCCACACTTACTTAGCCTCTTGGGATTAATCTCCCCCCAGATTAGTCCCAAGGAATAATCCAGCTTCTGTCCTTTTCTCTGATTTTGCAGTTGCCATTCCTAATGCCCTCTCCTTCGTCAGGTGGCTCCTCTCATAATTCATCTTGCTTCCCTGGGTGGGACTTCCTGGCTTCCTTCTCAATGGCCATGCAGCAATTCCCTCTACAGAAAGGATTTACAAGGGTGCTGGACCAGGACTTCCAACTGTGACGGATCCCACCCAGATGAGAAAGAGAAGGAATGTCGATCAAGTTGAGAGAGTGAAATCTAAAGTACTTACTAACTGATGCCTTGGCCCTAGGATAAGTTCATGGAGAGGACTGGACAGTGGTAAACATAGCATCTGTCAGGGCTTCACCACAGAGATGGCTCAAGCAGTGAAGACCACTGTCTGCTCTTCAGAGGACCTGGGTTCAATCCCAGCCCCCACACGGGAGATCACAACTCTCTGTAACTCCAGTTCCAGGGGACCTGCCTACACTCAAACAGACACATGCAGGCAAAGCACCAATGTGCATAAAATAAAAATATATATGTAATTTTTTAAAAGTAGCACCTGCCCAGCAAGGGGCCCCATCTGGGAAGGGGGACCTCACAAGTCAGTCCCCCCCTCCTCTGTCCTCAGCCAGCCTTGCCTGTCCTTTCCTGCTCTCTCTACGCTCCAGCAGCCCTCATTTTCTCTCTGTGGGGGCAGAGAACCCACTTTCTTGTTCCTTCTGACCTCACAGCTCTTCAAATCAAAAACTGAGAGATGGATGGTGAGGAAGGTTCGGGGACGTGGTAGTTTAAGCTGCAAGCAGAGACAGAATTCAGGTTGGACTCACGCGTTCTTGGATCCCAACTCCCACATTTGATTTCCCCAGAGAGGGCTGAGGACATAGCTCAGCCGTAGAGGGCATGCTAAGGGGTGAGGTGTGTGGCCCTGGGTTTAATTCAATCTTCGGCCCCCTTCTCCTCTCTCTCCCTCTCCCCTTTTCTCTCTAACACATTTCACAAAGGAACCCTGGGAACCAACTTAAGGGAGTCACTGGGAACCAGGTGGCTGTCGGACAAAGGAGCAAAGCAAAAGAAAAACCAGAAAGAACAAAGGACACAAGAGCACAGGAAACTGTCCATGAGACCCAGAAGAGGTATTAGAGAGCCTAAGAAAGAGAAGAAGAGCCGGGTGTGGTAGCGCATGCTTTTAATCCCAGCGCTCAGGAGGCAGAGGCAGGCGGATCTCTGTGAGTTCGAGGCCAGCCTGGTCTACCTGGCAAATTCTAGGCTAACCAAGGATACATAGTAAGACCATGTCTCAGAATAAATAAAGCTGAATGTAGTGCCACACACCTTTAACCCCAGTACTCAGGAGGCAGAGGCAGGAGGATCTCTGTGAGTTTGAGGCCAGCCTGGTCTACATAGAGAAACCCTGTCTCAATAAAAAAAGAAATAAAGAAGAAACAGACAGACAGATACCTGGCTTTGAAAGAGACAAAACCAAACCAAACCCAGAGAAAGCAGAGAAGGCACCAACAACAAAAACCCGCCGTAAAAGAAACAAATACAGAGGAACAAAGACAGGCCCGGACGGCCTCAGAGGGACAAGGGAAAAGCCGGAGGGACAGCCAGGTCTGGAGGAGGAGGAGGAGGGGTGAAGCAGCCAGCAGGTGGGGGGCGGGGAGGCAGTATAAATAGGGCATAATTGTGTCCGAAGATTACATGGGCCACCCCACCCGTCTGCCCAAAAGGAAGTGCCCGTGGTGGGACGTTCCTATGACCTCGTAGTCCCCTCCATGGCGGTGGTTGTGGGGGAGTCTAAGGCCGAGTGTTAGCTGAATTTCTAGGGCTTTAACTAAGAAACTGGGAAGAAGAAAAGGAAGCTTAGACGCACATCCTTAATCCCAGCACTCGGGAGGCAGAGCCAGGCGGATCTCCGTGAGTTCGAGGCCAGCCTGGTCTACAGAGCGAGATCCAGGAAAGGCTCCAAAACTACACAAAGAAACCCTGTGTTGAAAAACAAAAGAAAGCCGGGCGGTGGTGGCGCACGCCTTTAATCCCAGCACTCGGGAGGCAGAGCCAGGCGGATCTCTGTGAGTTCGAGGCCAGCCTGGGCTACCAAGTGAG